GAGTCTGCTGCCATTTTGTTCCTTCAGTTTTGCTTCATTGTTATTAGAGTCTTGTGTTCTTAACCACTACACTATACTGGGTATACTGCATGTAATAGAATTGAATGTATACACTGAAGAAATTCAAAGGATGACTTAGAAGTCCTCTTCAAATACAAAATTAGGAAACATAAATGAGAGTAGAAAGGACATTAAGTCTCCTGGGACAGATTTGATATGTCTTAAGCTTATTGTTAAAAATAGTATAAATAGCTAATGAACAGATAAGGAAATTATGCTACCAATTGCCCATTTTCTACAGTTACACTAATAAAACTCTAATATTTACTGTGCAGCCATTATTAAATCAGAGGATCACATCTATATCCTGGTTATTCTGTTTCTTAGGATTTTTTTCTCCTGGCATTGTACATCAGTAAATTATGCCTTTGTCTTTTGTTATGAATTAGGAGTTAAATAAGAGGCAGACTCAAATGGACGTGGAGCATGCAACGCTCCTGCGTCATCATGAATCCATGCAAGAACTGCAGTTCCGCCAGCTCAACACAAGGCAGAAGATGCGCTGTGAGCTGATCAGATTGCAGCATCAAGCCGAGCTCACAAACCAGCTGGAGCATAACAAATGGAGAGAATGAGAACTAAGGCGAAAGCATGCCATGGAGGTTCGACAACAGTCTAAGAGTCTGAAGGTACCTTTAGCCTAGGCTTCTTGACAAAGGAGAACAGATAAAAGGCATCATGTAAACACTAAAAGTCTAAGCCATATGTCTGCCATAAGGAAATTGAATAAGCTTTTTTCTTTTCATTTTAAGCATGTTTGGTTAGTTTTGATGTAGAGGGTCTGTAGCTACAGACTTCTGCTTATGTATTTCTCAGCAGAGTACCAAAAAATGGCCAGAACTTTTTCACTGCAGAAAGTGCCATAAATGAGATTCAAAATTCTTATTTTAAGTGTACCCAAATGTCCAATGTTGATACTACAACTATATATCAACATACTAACCTGTTGGCTTCTCTCTGTTGTTCCAAGTT